CCCCCAAAACCCCAAAACCCCAAAACCCCAAAACCCCAAGAGTTCCAACCATGATAGAAAATATAAAAATTACAAGTTGGTAGAAAATGAATTGGCTTCGAAAAATCGTCAGTGGCAAAAGAAGAAGGCTCAAGAAAGACAATTATGATCTCGATATTACCTATATTACAAGAAGAATTATAGCAATGAGCTTCCCAGCTGTGGGCTTTGAGAAAATGTACAGGAATGCAATGTCAGATGTCGTAACCTACCTCGATCAAAATCATGGAGGCCATTACAGAGTTTATAATATGAGCGGCAGGACATACGACTATTCAAAATTCCATGGAGAGGTCGAGAGCTATCCCTGGGAAGACCACCACCCACCTAATATTGATATACTGTTTAAGTCTTGTCACTCTATGTACGAATACTTACTCAAAAATAATGAAAATGTTATTGTAGTTCACTGAAATGCTGGAAAAGGAAGGACTGGAACAAGTATCTCATGCTTTCTTATTTACTCAGGTTTATCTGCCACAGCAGAAGATGCTATGACATATTATGGCAGGAAAAGATTCTCTACAGGTAAAGGTGTAACCCAGCCATCCCAGAAGAGATACATAAAGTATTTCGAGCAAATTTATAAAGCAAAGGTGAAATCTCCTGAAAAATAAATTGATGAAGTCTCTCTCTTTTAAAGGAGTTCCTTTTCTGAATGGAGATAATGCTAAGATTTATTTTGAAATTGTTGATACTAAGACAATGGACGTTGTCTACTCGTCTAAGCAAGCAAATATGGTCAAGTATAGCTTCTTCGGACAACATTTGGATATGCTCCAATGATACGAACTTCTACCAGCAGACGATATTGATTTGATCCTATCAGGAGATCTTATTTTTAAAATCAGAAATGGCTATGGTTTTGGAAATAGTGTGCTGTGCAGATTTTCCATAAATAGCTCTTTTCTAGGATCGCAAATAGACCTCACAAAGCAAGAGCTGGATCCAAACCATTTTAAGAAAGACACCAGATTCCCAGAATATTTTAATATTTGACTGCGAACAGAAAAAGGATGCCCTGATTGTGACGTAAGTAACTAAATTTAGAGATATTTTATCAAATATATTAAGCAAGAATCTCTAGTATCTACTGCCTTTCATCTCTGATTTTTATCTTAACTATTTCTTTTATAAAATGCCTAATTTTCCATTTTAGTCAAGCAAAGAATTAAATGAGCTTTGCCAAGAATGCATTAAAGACTTGGAAGAAGAGTTGAGTGGATGGTCGTACATCCAAGGAACTCTGCATGACTTATTCGAAGACCCTAAGAAAATCCCTAGCTACAAGAAAGCTCTTAAGATTCATTTCCTTGGTGCAAAACCTGACTATGAAGAAACCTTAGAGCTAGCTGCTGAAGAGATATCCAAAGTGAAACTTATCACTGGCAGCGTTCGCAAGGGAACAAATCACCAGGACATGAATATCGAGATGGGTGATAAGAAACAAATCTCTGTGTCCAAAAAGTATTTCAATAGGTACAGCTCTGATGAGCCTTCTAAATCCCAGAGTAATGAGTCTTCTCCTCACAGAATGAAACGAGCAGGGACTCTTTTTGAAGATCTTCTAAATGAGAACAATGAATACATGCCTGACTTTAATCAAGAGATACATAGAAAACATACGTACTTCGTTAAGCCTGAAAAGCTACTTTCTGAAAACCAGGAAGCTCAGATCGAAGAAGGCAGTAAGTCATTTGAGACAAATCCTATAGAGTATGAGTTTGATATCCCTGATGGTGAAAGCAATAGTAATAGCGGCAATAGTTTGGTAAGTGCACTCAGATTTCTTCATACTGATCAAATAAACAAGAGATGAGCCAAGGCTTCAAATACAGTCTTAATGTGCATTTTAGGATGAAGAGGACATCGACCATGATACTCCATATTGGAAATAGAAGAGAAATAGCAGAAGGAAGTTTATATCAGGATATCTTACAATCTAATATTGAGAAAGCTGTTGTTCAGAGAGGTAAGCAAAATTATGTTTGGTTTATGATGTAAAATTCATTATAGAGCCAAGCAAGCAATCTTCCAAAGCTAATTATGGAGAAGAAGATAAAGAAGAATCATTAGCAGCTCATTTTGCTTACGTTGATAATAAGGATAACATTAATAATGATATCACTCATGTCAAGAGAGGAGGTACTGTCTATAAAAAGTAAGGAACTGAAACTTTATTTTGCTTAAGACAGAGTTACAAAATATTAAGAAACTCAATCTTGATGCTAATCTCTCTTCTAGAAAAGTTACCAATCCTGCTCATTTGTCCCAAAAATTCCCTCAAGCTAAGCCTCAGCCAGATTTTTCATCATCCTCAGATGAGGATGATGAAGAGGAGGGGACTTCTTTTGACATCATCAACAGAAGTTCTGTCTATAGTAACAAGGACAAAAAGCCTGCTAAATATAAAGACGACAAAGATCCTTTTGCAGGATTTTAATTCAAAATTTAACAAAACTCCTCAAACTCTTAAGTTCTATCTAACATAGAAATCCAAACCAATGCGTAAATTTGATTTCTTTTCCCTCTAATTCACCTTAAACTCCTCATATTAAACCATTTCGAAAGCCCATTATACTCTCCATTCCCTCTTATTTGCTCTAATCTCAGTCATTTCCCTCTATTACCCCTCAAAAGGATCATAAGTATCCTCCTCTATCTCCGCAAGGCTTTAAAGAAACCCTTATTCTCTGTTAATTTACTTACTAATTCCTTTGTGAAGCATGAATTAGCTTATGAAAGGCATAGTCTTGACTTTAGATTTGATCTGGGAGCTGGGCAGTTTTTGACTGGAAAATGGGCTTTAGAGGGATTTATAGCATGCTTTGTGATGAAAAATAGGGTTTTTAGAGTGAAGAGGATAGTTAGGAGGAATTATAATGATTGAATGAAGCTGTGATAGTCTGAGGATATTTATTTAGATGTCAAACTTGCTCAATGTCAGAAGTTTGCTCTGGGGTTTTGGGGTTTTGGGGTTTTGGGGTTTTGGGGTTTTGGGG